TTTGGACAGCATATGCAATGTCAGGTCTGGTGGTGATGGCTGCATACATGAGTCCTCCAACCATTGACTGATAGGTTGGCTTGATGTCAGGGTGTGATTCATCAACAGAGAGCTTCTGAAGTTTCACATCTGGGTCCATAGGTGTGTGGACAATGTTGGCTGAGTCCATACCATGTTGGGCAATGATCTTGTTGATGTAGTTGGTCTGAGTGATCGTAATAGTGCCCTCTTCACGGTTCCGATGAACCTCCATTCCCAGAAGTTGAGTTGCATCACCAAGTCGAGTAATTTGGAAAGCGGATTCCAGCTGGTCCTCGGTTTCGGTGATCAAATCAGAGTTAGAAGCATAGATGGACATGTCATCCACATGAACGGCTACAATGACAATACCATTGTCATCACGTTTAACAAAGACACAGCGGTCAGAGAGAAGACGCTGAAATCCCATGTTGTTGAAGCGTGCATTGAGCTTCTCGTTCCAAACACGGCCAGATTGTGGAAGTCCATAGAGTGTCTTGCGCAGACGTAGGACACGATTAGTCCCATCAGAGAATCCTTCAGGCTGTTTCATGTAAACTTCCTCCTTTAATTCACCATTCAGGTAAGCACCCTTAACGTCGACAGTGCGAAATTCAAGATCATATTTCACTGCTAGGGCTAGTAGGAGTCGGTTTGTCTCGGCACGGGCGACTGGAGATGAGATCTGGTCAGGGTCATAGTCGGTGCCAGGGATAGCATTGTTCCCTAAAATCACAAGTCTTGCTTTGTGACGTGTGATATCGCCTTCAGAATCAAATTTGTTGCGGTAAACCCATTTGCTACCAAGTGCTCTACGGCCTGGAGGTAGACCTGTGAGTTCAAATGTTGCCAGGGAATCTAGCTGCTGAATTTCTTCCTCCATTGCCTTGCGCCAATCATCAGCACGTGGATGATTTACAGCTTGGCGATAATTCGAAGGCTCTGTGTGAAGTGCCATCTGTGCAAGATCGGGTTTAGCAGGGCGGCTAGCTGGGTTGTTGAGCAAACGCCAGTATCCAGAATTGGATGTGCCTTCAGTAGCTTTGCGAGATTCACGCTGTTCACGTGGTGGCATAGTGAGAATGTTTCGCTTAGCTGGTGCAGTAGGGGGTTCAGGTCCATCATTGGAGTTCAGATTTGAATCTGGAGTTTGGACCTTGGTTGAGGATGTTGGTGCTTTGGGAGTGCCTAGATTTGGCGGCTGAGCCGGCGCGGGCTCGCTATTCCCAGATGAATTACCAGAACTCTCCCCCTCGAGCTGCGACGGGTCAGGAGGTGTGTACTCCTCGAATGTGCCATTTGACTTAATGAACACAACATTTCTCGAAGTGAGAATCTTGCGCATTTGGCCAGTGTAGTAACGCCAGGCGCGTCCTTCCTCAGTGAGACCCATAAAGCGAAAAGGCGTTGAGCGTGGATGAAAGACTGGATGAGCTTGAGAATTAAGTCTGCTGTCTTGGGCAGAGTGGCGTGATGCAAGTGTGACATGACGGCTGAGATAAGCCTGTCTTTGGCCACTTGCTCACCGCCACATCCTCCGACCTGCTCGAAGCCCTTGACTGCCCTTCTCTTCACCCATGCCTGCAATACCCCAGTTCACCAAGACACTCAAATCCCTCGACAAACGTGACCTTCTCCAACTCATCCAACACTTCGACATTGCTACACCGCCAAATCCATCCCGCGAAGACCTACGCTCAGCAGCTGCCGACTTTGTTGATGACAACATGGACCTCATTTTGTCGCAACCTGCACTGAGTCGTCTCGTGCCGTTGAAGGACCGCCAGGCTTTTGCCGCGGAGCTCGCGGCTGAGAATGCGGCTGAGCTGGCAGACCTCGCGACCGCTGGAAACAACGGACGAGGTGCAGGAGTTATCGGAGGGGGTCTTGGGGCTGATTTGAATGGAGAAGAAGACGAGACAGCCGCCACAAGAGCACTTCTGGCAAGCTTGACCAACGACCAGCTAAACGACCTACTCCGGCAATACTACCAAGGTGTGTTCCATTCATCCGACCTTCCCACTATCTCTCCACACGTTTCGTCTCCATCTCGCGTCTCTTGATACCCAAATAGCTTGCGCATGGGTCAATCCTCTCGTTACGAGCACTCGCTCCTTCACCCGCCTTTCGGGCTAGCCCTAACCGATATCCCTCTGCACTCGCATGGATCTGGACGCGTTTACACTCTCCTCTCGTTCCCATTTCCTGGTTTTCAAAATCGCTTAACCCATTCGAATTTCCACAGCACATTCGGGTCCTCCTATTCCAACTCCAGAGAATCGCGACACCTCCAATCCCTCGCTGGAATTCGAACTCGGCTCCCAAATCGATAGTGTATCGTATCCTGCGCCACCTGCGCTTGTCAAACGGGTCAAACGCGGCGAGCTTCCGCCCCTGTCACTGCTCACTGACGAATACTGCTGCCGAAACTCCACCACTACATCCTCGGAACTCGACCGAAAGCTCATCCTAGAGGGCGACAGTCTTATCTCTGTCAACAAGGAGCTGTCGTTTGAAGCAGACAAGGCGCTTCCCCTCGGACGTTGGCACCAGGCTTATCGCCGTCTCCTCGACCTCATGTCAACGCTGCCCATCTGGGAAAAGGTCCTCCCCCGCCTCAGAATACACCACTAGCGAATCCTCGACTACCCAAATCATGAAGAACATTGGCCTGTGCTCGCGGCATACGACACTGAGCTTCGTAGACGGTTTCTAACCGTAAAATTCGACTTTGGAGAATGGCAGCGAAGTGTGTGGGAATCAGAACAAGCAAAACATTCGGCGAAGCGCGCGAGTGACCTTGCCAAAGTCGAAATCAATAAGTGGACCGGCCAAAGACAGCACCACGGCGCTTACTTCCACCCTTATGAATCGCGCTCAAGTCCGTCGCGCAACCGTTCCTTTCGCGGTGCTGAAGCGCGGCCATTCTCTCCACCCCCAACCGGGACGAACCCTGCAACCATTAGAAATCGATTTCGTTGCTTCAAGTGCGGCTCCCGAGAGTCTGGTCACCGCGCCGCCGATTGCCATGAAACAAAGACAACTCGTGGAGACCCAACCTTTCTCAGCCTTGATCGACAATCCGGTGCTCGAGTCGACAAATCTGGGCAACGGTACTGCTTCAACTTCAACGGCCAGAAAGGATGTAACACCCCTTCGCCCTGCCGCCTCGGACGACATGCCTGCTCGCTTTGTGGCTCTGAAGACCACTCCGCGCAACAGTGTCGCTCCGCCTAACTTCTTGGCGGTGGTTACCCCGTTTATCGCGGACCGTTGGGAGTCGGAGCTCCGCGCTGTAAATTTGTACGATAAATTTCACGATATCCCAACAGGCATTCGTGAAGGCTTTCTCTTTGGCATTCACATGAACCTATCCTCATCATACATTCCCGCTAATCGTCGTACTGCTCTCGAGCACCCCTCTGTAATTGACGAGTATATCCAAACAGAGCTCGTTGCCCGCCGCTACTCTGGTCCCTTCGACCTCGGACGCCTTGAGCTTCTCATTGGCCCTTTCCGCTCTTCCCCTCTTGGCGTTGTGCCCAAAGCGGGAGAGGAGAACAAATGGCGAATGGTCCAAGATTTCTCTTTTCCTTATGATGACCCGGAAGTATCATCGATCAACTCGACTATCGATTCCAATGATTTCCCCTGCGACTGGGGAACTTTCTCCGAAATGTTACTGATGGTCATGAACGCTCCACCTGGTACCCAAGCGGCCACTCTGGATGTTGATGCCGCTTTCCGGCGAGTGCCTATTCACCCATCACAACAACATTTCTTTATTGTATCTTGGAAGAATAAGTGCTACATCGACCATTGTGCTCCATTCGGACCTGCAAGCTCTCCGGGTATATTCGGGAGAATCGCTGATGCAATGGCCGCCTTGCTTACCTCCAACGATATCGGTCCGCTCAAGAAATGGGTCGACGATTTTTGCTTCTTTCGATACCGGGACCTCGAGACGGACTCCGAGCCAAGGCAAGATGATCACAACCGATATCGATATGATGTAGAAGACATCTATCGATTCACCGAGCCCCTTGGCTGGCCGTGGAAATTATCCAAGACCTTTCCCTTCAGCCCTGTCTTCAAATACAAGGGTTTTCAGTGGGATTTAGATGCTAAAACGGTTGAAATACCCGAACCAAAAAAGATGCGGTATCTTGCGAAACTCGACCAGTGGATATCAGGGTCCAAATTTACGCGCAAGGAGGCAGAATCTATTCACGGAACCCTTGTCCATTGCTCCATGGCTGTACCGGAAGGCCGCTCACGCCTCCCTGCGATCTCATCCTTCGCTTCCTCTTTCTCACACGCACCCTCTCCATTCTCGCGACGTTCACCAAATGCGACCGTCTTTAAGGACATCGATTGGTGGCGCACCCAACTCCACCTTCCCTTCTGTGGTTCGAAGTTAGTTCGCCCCCCCTTGGTCAACCTGATCCCATTCTGGGTCGACGCCTCCACTTCCTGGGGTGTTGGAGTAGTTTTTGACACCGTCTGGGCCTCCTGGCGGCTTCGCCCGGGTTGGGATAGTGAAGGCCGAAAAATCGGATGGGCCGAAATGCTTGCAATCGAGTTCGGTTTACTGCTCGCCATCCACCGCGGCCACCGGAATACCCATTTCCATATTCGCTCCGACAATCAAGGTGTTATTGGAGCTCTAGATGCAGGCAAGTCCCGCAATTCTGAGCAGAATCGTGTCCTTAGGCGAATTGTGTCCTTACTACGGACTCACTCGCTATGGATCACTACGTCCTATGTTCCATCGGCCGAAAACCTTGCAGATGCGCCATCACGCGGTGTACCCGTATCCGTCACAGGTTTCTCTCGCGCTCTTTCACTATTTAAAATTCCATACTGTGTTTCAGAGCTCATTTCCGATACCCAATAGACTTGTTTGCTTCTTTCTTATCCTTGAATTTCCGCCCTTCGTCCTTCAAATCTTGACACCATGTCACACTGTCACTGTCACCGATATGACTCACACGCCGCGACACCCCATTCCTCAGTCTCTACACGAAACCTCTGCTCTTATACAACTCATCCAGGCCACAGATAGGCGCCGAACACCACAGCCAACCGCTAGGCCATCCCACAAGCTTCACCCGAAGCCAAAGCACCCGCATCGCACTCCCAGCAACCTTACTGCCTCCCCCCGCCTCTTCAGACCCCACCTTGGCCTCACCGTGTCCCCCGAGCCCCACACCATCTCCCCAACCCTCCGCGCTCAACTCAACCTCGCATTTCAGAATGGATGGGGAAGGAAAACCCTCACAAACTACGGCTACACCGTCGACCGTTTCCTTGCGTTCTGCGACGCAGAAAAAGTTCCTCAGAACCTTCGTCTTCCCACCCACGAGTTTATTCTCTCCGCCTTCGCCGCCTCCCACACTGGTATTCACGCCGGCTCCACTGCAAGGAACGACATTGCCGCTCTCAAAGCATGGCATGTCGCACAACAACAGCCGTGGTTGGGTGGCCCTCGGCTACACTACGTGCTATCTGGTGTCGAATCACTCTCACCTCAGACTGCAAGCCGACCACCACGACCCCCAATCACACCAGACATGCTACTGTCTTTGCGGCGAGGCCTTGACTTTGCATCACACTTCGATGTTGCTGTCTTTGCTGCCGCGTGCGTTGCCTTCTGGGGCCAATGTAGGCTGGGCGAACTCCTTCCGGACTCCCGCTCCGACAAAACTCTGAACGAGAAACCATCCCGGGCAAACATCTCCTTCCACCGCGACACACTTACTATTCGCCTTCCCCGTACCAAGACCCAAAAACACGGCGAGGATGTGGTCCTCGTCTCCCAGCGTTCAGAAATTGACCCGATCTTGGCTCTCCGAATGCATTTTGTTGCCAACCCCATTCTTCCCCCTGCCCATCTCTTCGCATATCAATGCGGTTCTTCCTACCAACCGCTCACCCGCCGCGCCTTTCTTAATCGCTGCAACGACATCTGGGGAAAGGAGGGCTACCCAAAGCTGTCGGGCCACAGTTTCCGCATTGGAGGGACAACTGAGCTCCTTCTCAGTGGTGTTCCCATCGACTTGGTCAAAAAGGCCGGACGCTGGTCATCAGATGCCTTCCTGAAGTATTGGCGCTCACTCCAAGACCTGGTGCCACGCTACATCCGAAACGTCCATAAGCGGAAGAGGTGAAATGCCCTGTCTCCTGGGCTAGCCGTGTTCTCGGCTGGGCATTGCCTTGGGGGTTCATCCTCGAACCTTTATGTTGTGCCCAGGAGCTCGGCTTCATTCCACGTTGCTTCTCACCCAAGATATTCAAGTGTCTATATAATAATATCAAAATGCACTGATGGTTTCCTCTGATATTTTCCTTGTATGTATGATGAACAAATGAAATGCCCAAGAATGAAAGACTGGATGAGCTTGAGAATTAAGTCTGCTGTCTTGGGCAGAGTGGCGTGATGCAAGTGTGACATGACGGCTGAGATAAGCCTGTCTTTGGCCACTTGCTCACCGCCACATCCTCCGACCTGCTCGAAGCCCTTGACCCACCCACCCTCTCCTTTTTATAGACACTTGTAGCAACATGGGGTTCATCCTCGAACCTTTATGTTGTGCCCAGGAGCTCGGCTGAAGCTCCTGCATTCCTGAGTGGCTGAGATGCCCATAGACCCTATGCCAGTCATCAAGACTGCGTGATGGTCCAGCTGCGAATGCAAGAAAGGTTTCGGCGGAAGTAGCGATGTTTGCCGCATGTGGTGTGACCGGTGTGACGTTCCCGAGTGCATATACATCGCCAATGTTACGACATATACCGAGTTGTTGGTTGTGAGAGTCACGGATACCAACGTCCAAAGAGTTGATTGGGAAGTCCAGATGATAGCCTGCACGATGAAGTTTACCCAGAGAAATCAGGTTGTGTGGGCTATTTGGGAGATAGAGCACCCTCTTGAGTGTGATGTAGTTGGAATGTGATCCAATTCCAAGTCTAAGTCTCACACTCCCTTCACCTTCAGCAGTTGAAGAACCAATTCCTATAACTGTATGGCTGGATAATGCCATGTAAGAGGTGAAATAGGATCTGTTGTTGGTGATGTGAACACTTGCTCCACTGTCTAGAAGCCAAGAGTCCTTGGTGAGAGTAGGGGTAGCCATGAATGCAACATCATGGGCTTGCTCTGTAACTGTGTGGGCCTTGGGTCCACTTGAAAATGTACCACCCTTGGTCTTGGATGAGAACTTCGAAGTTGCGCTGCTTCTCCTTATCAGAGAATTCTTTGCCAGATTGCTTGGCTCTGCAGTCGTTAGCGCGATGGCCTAGCCGTCCACAATGGAAACAGGCGCCAGGTCGTGAGTTATCATGAGTGTGGGAGGATTTCGAACGATTGCCGAATTTGCCCTTGAATGCCGGAAGTGCCGTTGTGCTGGACTCAGCTTCAGGCTTGGCGGTGGGCTGCTTCGCATGCTGGATGATGCGAGCAATAAGGTCCTCAGGACTTGTGAGCTTGGTGAGATCAAAGTTCCCAGTCCAGTTGTCCCATGAATCAGGGAGTGATGTGAGGATAATAATGGCAAAGTCCGGATCCAAAATGACTGTCCCATAGGTTTCGAGATCAGTCCGAAGGGTAGTGAGAGTGCGGAGGTGCTCCTCAATAGGCTGCTCCTCGCCGCATCGGGTGCATACAACTTGCGTCTCAAGTGTATGATCGTGATTGCGCCCTTGGGGGCATAGATGGACTGTAGTTTGTCCCATGCTTCCTTTGCAGTCTTCGCGCCTCGAATATAAGCCATTGGTGTATCACCGACGCGAAGTCGGATGATAGTGAGTGCCTTGGCTTGCTTTCGTTTCCAGTCCGCATTGGCCTTGACCTCAGCAGCATTGGCGGGGTCGGTGATAGCCGGTTCAGCAGTGCTGGTTCCGAATACATAATCATCATAGTCCTGGTCGACGAGGATGTCTCGGACTTTCGTCTCCCATGTTGGATAGCCAGCGGCATCTTCCAAAAGCTTTACAGTAGTCCGGTAATGATCGGTCATTGTGTGCTTGTCCAGAGGAGGGATGATACAAAGAAGAAGAGAGAGAAGAGGAAGATCAAAGAAAAGAGGTGGAAGATCAGTGAGATCAACCAAAGATCAGAGGTTTGGGGTGAAGGATCAGAGGAATCGATCCAGAGATCAGAGAGATCAGAGAGAGAAGGCTCGATATCAAGAGATGACAAAACAGGCGGAGGGTTATGTAAGCGATGTCCTAAGTTCAGTGACGGCCGGGGCCCATAACCTGTTGAAGAGCAAAAAGTGGGGGGTAAAGAATCTATCTTTAAACTAGGTACATGGGCTGAATTTATAGTACATGAGATGCGCAGCGCGCAGTCCGCGCAGTCCGCAGTCCGTAGTCCGCAGCCGCAGCCCGCAGTCCGCAGTCCGGAGTTCGCACGTGATCAGTGCTCCGTCAACACGGGAAAGCTGCACACTGCCCAATTTGAGCATGCGGGCCGGCGTCGTTGTCGTCCGACAGTCGCCATGGAGGATGTTGGCCAAGTCGTGGTGGTGGAGCAAAGACAAGATGCAGAGATGTCAATCACTGATCATCTGTCAGCGTCGACGCCGCCGGCGAATGTTGATGACGACGACGACGACGGGCGCGGGCAACGCAACATGCGTTCACGACGCGGAGAAGTGGCCAGCGACGAAGGCGACGGCCTTGTGGTGACGAGGAGTGATGTTGATCGAAGAGAGCGGCGCCGCAGCTGCCGCTTACTAGGGTGGGCGGCCGTGTTCATCGCCGCCCTCCTCGCTTGGCTGAGAGCCGCCCTCTGTCACACGAGAGCCGCGCCCAGTTGAGCGAGAGCCGCCCACAGCCGCGGCAGCACTGCCACGGGCCGCCCACCGCAAAAAGAGGGCGGCGAAAACCACGCAAAAAGCCGCCCACCGCCGCGTCCGAGCCGCCCACCCAAAAAGTCCAAGGGCGATGCTCGACAACGAAGCCACCGTTCGAGCCGCTCGGTGGCGCGTTCGAAAGGGCTCGTCGGGGGCTATCGAACGCCCCAAGAATGTTGTTTTTATGTGAAGTACTTACAAAGATATTGTGTACAGAACTTTCGTGGAGCCGCCCACCAGCCGCCTCCGAGCCGCCCACCCCAGAAGCGGCGAAATATTTTTGCCCCCGCTGTTGGCTCTCAGACAAGTTACCCGGGGAGCCGCGCACTGGCACACAACGCGAAGATCAAAGTCCCACGTGGACCGCGGTGGACGCTGGTCGTTGCTAGGCGTTGCTGGAGCTTCCTAGACCCCTTGTTAGAGGCCTTCAAGGCGGCCTTGAGACTCGCAAAGGCTGGCGACACCCAGCATATATGGCGGCCCACGCCAAAATGTCTGGCGTGCCAAGCCGACAGAATGGCGTTGACGCCTGATGGGCGGGCGTTGGCTTTGATCGCCAGCCAAACGCCACTCCCACGCCACGCCACGCCACTTGGCGCTGGCGCACGCCATTTGGCCACGCCAAAACGTTAGCTCTCCGGCCTTGCCTGCCGACCACCGGTATGCCCGTCAGCCGACCCCGGCGGGGCCAAGGTGCGGGCCAGCGGGTTCAAGGCACCAGGCCCGTACCCGTACCCGCACCGGCCCGTCCTCGCGGCCCGTCACGGGTCACGCCACCCGTGACGAACACTACAGTTGAAGTTGTCAACGCACCTTATACAGCCTTTTGCTATCCCCGGCGAGTCGCAACCCTTCGTCGAAAACGCCGGCGACACACAGCCTATGCGAAGACCACTGCTCCCAGACTACCGCCTGCCCGGCGTGCCTGACCCCCAGGGCTCGCCGACACCATACCGTCGTCATCGTGGTGAAAAAAAAACAGGTGCTGAGTAATGGTCACGCGTGACTCTTGGCAATGATGGTCGTGATGCAAGGCACGTGGCGCTTGACAACTTGCTTCTGCCCGTCATGCCCGCACCGAGTCGGCGCCTGGCTGGGATACGATGGCGCCGGGCTCTGCACAGAAGATGCACACGCTCTGACCGTGGTGAGTTGTGAATACGAGCACACAGCTGCATGTGGCAGCGAGCGTCTATATCTGGTGGCACGTAAACCGACGCGGGTTCGACCCCTGCGTGGCACATAGAGCCACGGATGCGTCCTGTTTTGTTTTGCTGCGGGTGCTGGGTATGGGTGCTCGGCGCCAGCCTACGCGCAGTCCTGCCAGCCCCGCCAGATCCAGTGCTCAACGGGTGTGGATCCCCTCGCCGAGGACGACGCGGCTCGCGGTTCGACGCCCGGGCGCGCACATTGGTCTTGAAAGGCTGCCGATGTTTACTTTTCACCGGAGAGTAGTGATCGTCACGGGCTGGGTGACCCGTGACGGGCCGTGAGGACGGGCCTCCACGGGAACGGGTGCGGGCCCGATGCCCCAAACCCGCTGGCCGTCGTACTGGCCCGCCGGGCCCGGCTAACCGGATACCCGGCCTCGGCGGCGGTCTCTGGCGCTTTCGAAACCGCCAGAGACTTGGCTCGGACTTGGCCCGGATGGCCGCAACGGCTGTTGCTGGGGCGTCCAAACCTGCAACAGCGATAGCCGCAAGATAGCCGACACCTCGATGGTTCGGGGGTGGCTTATGCCATCCACGGGCCTGTGAAACGCGGGCCACCCGCGGCCCGTTGGCCAAAACGCGGGGTACCCGCACCCGCCGAAGCGGGCCCGGGCCATCGGCGGGAACGGGTGCGGGCCACCCCGGATTTACCCGCGGGTGGCCCGTGACGAACACTACCGGAGAGCGAAGAATACTTTGGCCGCGTGCCGTAACTGCCGTTGCGGGCAAGGATCACACTGTTGACACACTGCATGAAAATGTGCTTGCGGGTGCGGCGCGGACCCGGGATCGACGGGCCTGGATGTGCCAATTATGGTTTGATGCATTGGTTCTTTTGGCAGCGTTGGCGCGCGAGTAGCGGATGTCAGGGTTAGACGCAGGCAAGAGAGCGGCAGGTCGCGCTGACTGCCCGCCGCGCGGCGCCGGTTTGTCCTCGCGCGGCGCAATGTGATCTTGCAAAATCGGCCGGTGCCGTGGTCATATACCGGCTGTGCGAAGCGCATGCATACCATGCATTGCATTGCATGGGGCCGAGGCGCGTTAGGTGTCGACGCGGGTTCGACCCCCGCGGGGCACATTTCAAATTGTCGATGCGCAAACGTC